GGTGGCGTAGTAGGTAGTGTGGTGGCTAGTAGGTAGTGTGGTGCTAGTAGGTAGTGTGTGCTAGAGGGTATGCTAGTAGGTAGTGGGTGCTAGTAGGTAGGGTATGCTAGAGGGTATGCTAGTAGGTAGTGGGTGCTAGTAGGCCTGCGAGCTGTTGTTTTTGATGCGATGGGACAATTGTGTACAATAACAAACACACAGCTCACTCGCACGGTCTCTTAATGCTAACAATACCACACCCACTGACACTCGATCACGCCATCGTGTGTAGGAAACTGTGAGGATCACTTACGCACATCCATCTTCTCTCAGACCTCGCCCCTCGCGTGCCCAGCTCACTCCTACCATGTGTATGTATGTATGTATGTATGTATGTATGTCTGTCTGTATGTTTGTATGTATGTATGTATATATATATGTCTGTGTGTCTGTATGGATGGATGGATGGATGGATGTATGTATGTATGTATGTATGTATGTATGTATGTATGTATGTATACATGTATGTATGTATGTATGTATGTATGTATGTATGTATATGTATATATGTTTATATGTATGTATGTATGTATGTATGTATGTATGTATGTATGTATGTATGTATGTATGTATATATATATGTATGTATGTATGCATGTATGTATAAATGTTCGAATGTATGGATGTATGTATAGATGCTTGCATGCATGTATGTATGTAAGTGTGTATGTATGTTTTTGTATATGTATGTATGTATATATGTATGTATGTATGTATGTCCCAGACAACAGCACCACTTAGTTGGGTGTACCTAATGGCTATGTCTGTGTCATGTGTCATAGGCACATCATACGTTGGTGTCGAGTGCCTGTGCAGCGGCGCTTTCTCTCACAGATATACTTTGAGACGATTGACTCCCACACACAACTTGATCTCCAACGCACTCTCGTAGGGCCTCCGGTGCGTTCCAACACACAACACAGCTCACACACCATCTCTTCATCCCGCTAACATTACCTGGGCATTTGGGGTGGCTGTGCTCGTAGTACCGGCACACCAATCGCTTGTGTAGAAATATCAGCGTCTGTGTTATTTGCGCTGCCACCCGCTGACTTAGACTCCGTCGTGGGACTGAGCGGAGGGATCTGTCGGTTGACATCTGGCTCAAAGAACAAAGGTACACCGGTCCCCGATTCCGTACTTGCAGTAGCACTCATACTCACAGTCGTACTAGCGAGTGGGCTGGGGCTGGATGTGGCTGTTAGTGTGTGTGGGGTGTGTCGTACTGGGGTTGGGCCGGGTGTCCGTAGTACGCCCGTGGAGGTGTGGGCGAGTGATTGTAGATAGCGTTGGCCCAGGACAAACCCGATCGGTGCACCCAGAGTGTAGCAGTAGTCAATGGGCAGGTGCACCTGGTCGCATAATTCGGGCCGGCTGAGGACATCGTACATGAGCAACCCGGAGATTCTATCGCATATGATGGTCACAGACCCTCCCTGTGGCGGGTACGATTGTCGGTGGGAGTGAGAGAGGAAGTGTTGTGTGCGGGGTTTAAGCCGCGATTACAGTCATGGGCATACCCACACTCTCTTTTTCTCTCTGTGTGTGTGTGTGTGTGTGATAGTACCACTTGGCAATAGAGTACATGTCATCATACAGTTTTATCAAGCGTGTAAAGAGGAAAGAGACGATAGTGCAGGACAACTATTGCTGTGCTGATATTCCGACGCCCACTACACACAACCAGCATACCCCTTTGCATTGCACATACCTGGAATTCAAAATCGGAGTAGTGTTGCAACGTGGCATTAAGCACCTGCACCATTTCCTGCAGCCTGCTGTCGTATGTGGGGTGCATGACGACCGAGCCAATCAGCGCAGACGGAGAGAAGTTCGCGAGATCGTTTGATTTGGACATGCCTCGAAGCACGGCTTCGAGCTCGGTGGTCATGGTGGGAGGGGTGCCTGGATTGGATAGGGGGTGGATATGATGTGAGCATACTGTGGGTCTGGTGATTGAGATTGTGAGTTTGATAAGCATAGGATGGGCTCGGGATGCGAGTGTGGTCCACAAGTAGTAGTAGTAGTAGTAGTAGTAGTACTAATAGTAGTAGAACTAGTAGTAGCGGTGGTGGTGGTGGTGCAATCTTGCTGTGATGGTAACGTATAACTGTTGCTTAAGTTGTCGCTCCGTGGCAAAAGTGGTATATTCTAATGACTAGTATACTAAAACAGCTTAGAGTGTAGGTAAAGCTGAACAAGTGGTATGTTCTAATAAAAATTATACTAACACAGCTTAAGTGTGTAGGTAAAGCTGAACAAGTGGTATGTTCTAATGACAAGTATACTAACACAGCTTAGGAGTGTAGGTAATAACGCTGAATAAGTGGTATGTTCTAATGACAATCATACTAACACAGCTTAGGAGTGTAGGTAATAACGATGAAAAAGTGGTCTGTTCTAATGATTATTATACTTAGGAGTGTAGGTAATAACGCTGAATAAGTGGTATGTTCTAATGATTATTATACTAACAGAGCTTAAGAGTGTAGGTAATAACGCTGAATAAGTGGTATCTTATAATGACAATTATACTAAAACAGCATAGGAGTGTAGGTAATAACGCTGAATAAGTGGTATGTTCTAAAGACTATTATACTAACACAGCTTCAGAGTGTAGGTAAAGCTGAAGTTACCTTTGAGGTGCGCCCCTGTATCGAATCTATTCATAGACACGCCCGCGACGTTTGAATGTGGATATGATATATCACGAAATCATCATTTCAAGTGCGGAAAAAAGAAGCAGAGCACGCACACAGAAGCATACTCGCCATACCGTGCACGTAGGCATATGTCCGCTACGCCATAACTAACACATTCATTAATAACCAAACACGTTTTACAACACGCGTTAACCGTAATAATCGCCTATGGATTGCGCACGTATACAGGTGCAAGTCTACGCCTTCGCCTCTGTGTTTATTGATTGAATATACTCTCTGTCTTATGCTGGTTGAATACCTACGTTAGACTCGTTCATGCGTATGCCTAACGCTTGAAAAAACGCATTGGAATTCCCCGTTTAACAGATTACAACCTCACCTCGCCCGTCACGATCCATCCAACCAGAACCCCCCACAAACACTCCACTACGGTACACTTCTACTGAACGACGCGTACGGTATGAGAGTGGGTGCAACGCTAGGCAAAGACAGAGTACCTATAGGACACACCTTCGCCCAGAATAGACCCTGTCCGTATGGGTATGGGACCGGGTGCAATGCTAAGCGAAGGCAGAGTACACGTACAACACACCTTCACCCAGAATAGGCCCTGTCCTTATAGGTACAATCTCCATGCAATCGACCCCTTCACTGTAGTGCGACTCCGCGACTTGCTTGACAGTGCGTTTGAACGTATTGAAATCACTCGCCCAATCAGCGTCCGAGCTGAGTGATCGTAATAGTACCGTATGAGATCGTTTTGAGTATCGCGTTTATTTGTGGTGGGTTGTGCTTGGGTCCGAATTTAGCAATTTTTGGCTTCCAAATAGATGTTCATGAATGTTTTACACATTGAATACCATATATTCTACCTTGAGATTTGAAATCTATACATTAGTACACATATACGTTTACTCATATGCTCCGAGACTATTACCTGTGTACACTGATGTACTTACTGGTGTACTTTGAGATCTATACTGATGTACTCTTAGATCTATACTAATGTACTCTTAGATATATACTGATGTACTCTGAGATCTATACTGGTGTACTCTGAAATATATACTGATGTAGCTAAAATTTATACGTATATACTCGAATGATTGTGTTGTTTCTTCGACGTGACGTATGTCAATACGTGCTATAAATGTTATACCACAGACGTCAACACTCAACCAACCCCCACTCAAGCTGGAAGTGATGATGAAGGCACAAACGAATAACAGTGATAATAAAACACACACACATGCATACACACATCGCACTTGAAGCGATGGCAAATACAATGGATTCGGTGGATGAAAGCAACAGTAAAAGAGTCGCTCGCCTGATACACTAACAACGGTCGCGAAACCCATATACTGGCCGCACTCCCCACCCAGAACCCAAGAGTGTACCTCCCACAGGCGGTCGCAGACCCCACCGCGAGAACACAAGACTTATACAACCACTAACTGTCCCTGGCAATAGCTACGTGTGCCATAGCACGCACACAAACACTCACCCCGCACTCGAGCTGATGATAGAGGGGGCGAATGACGCGATGACCAAATGCCGCCTCCTCACGCCGCTGTCGCTCGGTGGCTGGAGATGCAGTCGCGGTAGTCCGGCGGCTGTACTGTTGGGATCAGCGCTCTCGCTGTATTGATCCTCGTCTGCATCATCAAACTCCTCTGTTGCAGCAGAGGTGTGGTACAGATGTGTGGTTAGTGTGTAGGCTGGGTGTGCGTGGGGGATGTAGCACGATACAGTGGGAAGTGGTGGGTATGTGTGTGGTATGATCGGTGTCAGTCAACATGATGAGTGCACGCTCTCTATATATATATACATACACACACACATATATATATATATCACGCACGCGGGCGCACACCCATAGCATGCATTCCATACTCTCACACTCGCCCTGACACCACATACCGTTTCCACTCCAGAATTCAACGCTATCGGAGCCACTCGTAGCCTCGTCGGTGTCCATGTCAGTGGTCATTGAACTGTACACTTTCTGCAACGGAGGAGCACTGTCCACATTCTCCAGAATGCTGCGCAGATGGATTGGATGGTATGAGAGTGTATGAAATTCAGTTAAGTGTTGGTAACATATGTGGATGGTATGGAAGTGTATGAAATTCATTTAAGTGTTGGTAATATATGTCGGGTAGCTAATGGTATGAGAGCATTTGAAATTCAGTCAAAAATTGGTAACATTTGTGGGATAGACATCAATGGTATGGGAGTGTATAAATTCCAGTTAAGTATTGGTAACCTATGTGGATGGTATGGGAGTGAATGAAAGTTATTTTTGAGTATTGGTAACATATGTGGGGTAGACACCAATGGTATGGGAGCATATGAAATTCAGTTAAGAATTGGTAACATACGTGGTGTAGACACCAAAATGATTCGATAAACTTCAGACAATATAATCAGACAGGAAAGCACAGGCCACCGCGAGTGGCCATATGAGATGAGGTACATCCTGCAGACGATGGCACAGAAGAGCATGGGGTCATGATCCAGCGGGCTTACCAGACCCACTCAGCAACCAGACACTATACTGGAACAGGCTATATGTACTCAACTAATCAGGACAAATGACACAAGCATAGAGCGCGCCGACGCAAATCACCAAGACAAGACATATCTTCTCAGGAGGTGTAGTGTGGTGATGTGGAGGAAACTATGACAGCAACAGCACGCACTCATATATACATACATACATGCATGCATACGTACATGCCCCTGTGTGTTGATATATACAGATAGATGCATACATATGCGGTGGATATATCCATACGCACGCACGCACGCACGCACACACGCACACGTGCCTATAAAGAACACGCACACACGGAGACAGAACCACAAACCGGACCACAACCACCCACAGACGCACCATCACCCACACACCCAACCACCCAACCACACACCCACACACACCTGAGGTTGGTATTGCGGCCATCCAGTCCCTCGTCCTGAGAGGCACTCGCACTCTGAGCGGTCGCTCGAGTGTCGCTGTTGGTCAGTGCGGTAGTGGACTCGTCCGCAGATGTCCCGTCGCCTGGTTTGGCAAAGACCTCGGCTAGCTTGCGCTGTGCTTCTTCTTCCATCTCTGGGGGGTGGTAGGCATGCGGAGGCTAGATGAGAGGACTGGCTCAAAACAGATGGCAACTCTGTGAATGGGCACTGTTGGGATATCTCAAGAAGTTGAACACAACCGTTCCCTACGATATGTCTCGAACGAGAACTAGCTCATAATAATGGCAACTCTGTGAATGGGCACTGTTTGGCTATCTGAGCTGGAAGGCTGCCGTGTACATACTTCTGACTGTTAATGTGCATACCTCTGACTGCATCAATCCGCAAACGAGATGTATGTCATTCAGTTATACAACGCGTTATATATAGAACATGCATGCCTCATGTAGGATTGGTGAATTGGATGATTGACATATATTGTGAGAAGCTCTATCCTTCATCGAGTGCGGTTAGCATCCTAGTGCGAAGTAGACGTTCCTATTGGGACTAAATACCTCATCTCGCTACAAAATGCCACATTGCCAGACTAGACATGCACTGTCAGAACATGCAACGGCATAGACTAAAACGCATATACAGACCACTATCATATCTTGACATGAGGTGACTTAACTGCACAGATTATATTCCATACACAAGCCACTATCATATCTTGACATGAGGTGAATCAACTGCACGGATTATATTCCATACACAGACCACTATCATATCTTGACATGAGGTGAATTAACTGCACAGATTATATTCCATACACAGACCACTATCATATCTCGACATGAGGTGAATTAATTGAATTCCATACACAGGCCACTATCATATCTTGACATGAGGTGAATTATTTGAATTCCATACACTGGCCACTATCATATCTTGACATGAGGTAAACTAATTGAATTCCATACACGAATCACTATCATATCTTGACATGAGGTGAATCAACTGCACAGATTATATTCCATGCACAGACCACTATCATATCATGATATGGGGTGAATTAATTGAATTCCATACACAGGCCACTATTATATCTTGACATGAGGTGAATTAACTGCACAGATTATATTCCATACAAAGGCCACTATCAGATCTTGACATGAGGTGGATTGCCCTGCATCAGCGACGCCCTAGCAATAGTCTGTGTAGCTAAAACCCTAAAACCCTAAACCGGTCTGTGAATGCGCGACAGTAATACTTGCCTATACGATATATGGTACAAAATAACGCCTGATTGGTAGGTAGGCTTACGCTGCGCATGTACAGTCGGTATTTATGCTGTGCCTGTGCAGTCACCTACTTAAAACATCCTCCATGTTCAGATCAATCCACTCGTCCTGCCAACACCATGCTTGTCGATGGGCACCAACAATGGTTCTGCGGAGTCCCACATCGGCGATGAAGTTCTCGAGTTTGCTTTGCAATCCCCAATATTTGAAGTTGACTTTGCACACCTGTGCCGTGTGTATAGGACCACCAGGAGTATGTGTATGTGCAGGTATAGGTGTGTGTATGTACAGGTATAGGTGTGTGTATGTTCAGGTATAGGTGTGTGCATGTGCAGGTATAGGTGTGCGTATGTCCAGGTATAGGTGTGTGTATGTACAGGTATAGGTGTGTGTATGTGCAGGTATAGGTGTGAGTATGTACAGGTATAGGTGTGAGTATGTCCAGGTATACATGTGCGTATGTACAGGTATAGGTGTGCGTATATGCAGGTATAGGTGTGCTAATGTAGAAGTATAGGTGTGTGTATGTACAGGTATAGGTGTGTGTATGTGCAGATATAGGTGTGCGTATGTACAGGTATAGGTGTGTGTATTTCAGGTATAGGTGTGTGTATGTACAGGTATAGGTGTATGTATGTACAGGGATAGGTGTGTGTATGTCCAGGTATAGGTGTGTGTATGTACAGGTATAGGTGTG